TTGTGATCAGTCATGATTATGTCAGTTGTTGTAATCAGTCAGATGATTATGTCAGTTGTGATCAGTATTATGATTATGTCAGTTGATGTGATCAGTCAGATGATTATGTCAGTTGATGTAATCAGTCAGATGATTATGTCAGTTGTTGTGATCAGTCAGATGATTATGTCAGTTGATGTAATCAGTATTATGATTATGTCGGTTGATGTGATCAGTCAGATGATTATGTCAGTTGATGTGATCAGTCAGATGATTATGTCAGTTGTTGTGATCAGTCAGATGATTATGTCAGTTGATGTAATCAGTATTATGATTATGTCAGTGATGTGATCAGTCAGATGATTATGTCAGTTGTTGTGACCAGTCAGATGATTATGTCAGTTGATGTGATCAGTATTATGATTATGTCAGTTGATGTGATCAGTCAGATGATTATGTCAGTTGATGTGATCAGTCAGATGATTGTCAGTTAATGTAACAGGTATATACATCATCATGTTGTCTTTCTTGTATTTATATAGAAAATCTTTCCTTGCAACTGTACCATTGTAGTGTCACTTGCAAACAAATTTTCAAACTTTTTCAATATTTTGAAATTCATTAAATATTTTGTAATTCAAACACAGATACTGCTTGTTATTTATTTGCAGCCTTCATTTTGTTCATGCTTGGTCCCAATGGTATGATAATGAATCCGTATCATGACTGTGTTTATCAGGACATGACACAACCCTTGTCACATTATTTTATAGCCTCATCACACAATACGTAAGTCTAATATTTGGTGATATGTAAATTGAGTTATGAGCTATGTCATATAGAGTTTTCACATAATATGATAATTCTGGGTTATAGAAATTTTAACTCTGTATGTATGTTACCATATTTTATGTGTTATGTTTGTAGATATCTTCTAGAGGATCAGTTGAAAGGACCTAGCAGTACAGAGGCGTATATCAGAGCATTACAGCTAGGATGTAGATGTGTTGAATGTAAGTATGCAAAGTCATTGTCAAGTATTTCTATCATCATAACTGGGTATGTACAAATTGTTCTGTTTTTACCCACAATGCATTTCTCGTTCTATTGTATACTGAGTTAGTAAGGAAACCTGTGTAAGCCAATTGTGAATAATCTGTGGAGTGTCCTAAGTAGACACAAAGGACTTTTAGTACGTGCTAAAGGTTCTCTAGAATCAATTCACCAAGCCAATAAATGAGATGCATTATCCATTTGATCATACTGATATTGCCTGAAAAAATGTCAGATTGAGCTTACCTTTGCTCTAAAATTATTTTACTGTGATGGTAGATGATATCCAACTACATAAATAGATGTACACAGACACTTCATACTACAGGATTCACACTTAATACAAATGTTAGATTGGTGTTAATTTCTTTCCTCCAGTGGATTGTTGGGATGGTTCTGATGGAGAGCCAATCATTTATCACGGTCATACACTGACATCAAAAATCAAGTTCAAGGATGTGATTGATGTCATCAACAGATATGCATTTGAAGTGTCTGAGTAAGTATCAACTAACTTATTCTGATATTTTTTGAGATAATTTCAGAGAAAAACATGATACTGATACCTTTTGAGATAATATTTTAAGAAAACCATAATTTTTATAGCTACATCACTTTTGTTATGTTTCAGATATCCTGTTATTGTATCTATTGAAAATCATTGTTCAGTTGAACAACAAAAGAAAATGGCATACTTTATGGGCAAGATTTTTGGCAGTATCCTTAAAACACTGATATGAGTTATACAAATGATTCCTATATGTTACTAAATAGACTAGACTATGTACATGTAGTTTAAATTTTTTTCCATATTTGGTCTATAATTTTTCTGCCATATTTTTATCAGATATATTCTTATGTTGATGCTGGACTTCTAAATAGATTATATTGTATTCTATGTAAGATATCAGGATTATTAAAGTTCATGTAATATTGAATAATACCTCTGTGGCTTAATTAGTTTGAAAAATAACCTTTAAATCTGTCAGAGTACCTATTTTATTAACTCTACTTTTGTCAGATTATGTCATGTCTCAAGCAAGAGTAATGTTATAAATGGTACATGTATATGATGTTATTTGTTTTGCATACATTTTTTGAATGATAAATAAATGCTGGGAAGTTTTTATCTTTTTCTGGTTCGATAGTGTTGTCAATTTGTGCAGTATATCATGTTTGAGACATTGTAAAACAGACATAAGTTCATTTCATGACTTCTCTGACTTTACTGATTGTTATAGCCTGTGTATTCAGAGCAACATTTGTGGGTACTTGCATGGCCAAAGTAATTTAGTTACTATCAACCAGAGTTTGAAACAGGTTTTCTGTTTTGTCTGGTCAACATCTTTTCTCTGACAGTCTGATAATGGAATAAATATGTACATATTGATTAGCTAGAAATGTGCATATGTTTTCAGCATCTTAACAAATTATTACTGATTGAAATTAGAGGTATGACAATAGAAAATCTACCCTAAATTAAATATTATAATTTTGATATCTCATCAATACTTTTGTGAAGGTGAGTTGTTACTTTTGTCAGGTATTTTCCTAAATGTTTACTTCAGAGAATCTGTACATGAGACCAGTGACACCAGATATGAAAGCATTGCCATCACCAGAACAGTTAAAACATAAGATTATTATTAAGGTATGCGTATTTGACTGTCTTAGTCAGTGTGATTGTGTAAGCATTTATAGCATCAAATATGAGATATTAATGAAGATCTAGGTGATTGTCTGTTTATCATTTGTCAACAGTGATATTTTCAACTGAGCCTGATTGCTTTGATACTTAATACATGTATGCTGTGTACATGTATATTGGAGCTGCTCATTTGAAACAT